AAACCTGGTGCTTCTGAATCCCTAGGCCCTGGCTGAATGTGTATCCACTGGCTAGGGGTCCCATGATCACCCTCCAAAGGGCAAAGAATCCTTCTCTACCCTGATCAGGATCCTGTAAAGGCCATCCTGTCAAACCCCTTGCCTTCAAGGATGAGCTTTCCTTCCCCTGGAAAATGTTTTCTTTGCCAACCCCCTCCTCCTCTTCAAATTTCTTCCCTGATTCCCTCACCTCATACCCCCAATCCCTCTAGTTTCTGGGATCTCAAAGCATTGCTTTCCTAAAAGGGCCCAGAAGGATCATTGCCCTCCTCTCTCTGCCTCCAGGCTACCTAACCTGGTCCACAAGGCACATCTGCCTTTGGAGATTTCCAGGAAAGGAGATGCAATGACTTTGTTCCACCCTCGGGATGGTGTTTTAAGGTCTGTGACCTTGTATGGTGTAGGCTGGAATTTTTATAGAATCTAGAGCTTGAAGGGAGAAGTGGTGAGGAACTGAGGCCCAGAGAGGTTAAGGAATGTTCCTGATGTCACACAGGGAATGAGTAGCAATTTCAGGATTTGAAGCCAGGTCCTCTGTCTCCAAATCAAGTGTTTTCTCTCCTCAAAGTCATGTTACCTTCTGGGAGACCATTGTCCAATGGGATGACAGTCAGAGGTCCCACCTTGTGACTCTATTCACGTTCCTTCATTTCCTTCATCTGCTATTTGATGATTCCTCCTTCAGTCCTCTCCAAAAATACCTGAATAGGTCATGAGACAGGAGGCTGAGGAAAAGACTTCAGAATACGGGACAAATGTGGGAAGCATCAACAATGCCTCTTATGGCCGATAGATGGCGCCCACAGCACAACACAGTCCTGAAGCTGAACGAGATGGTGAAAAGCCGGCTAGAGAGTTAACCCTATGCTATCCCCATCCTAGCCCCATTCCAGGTCCAGAGGAGGCTGGCTTGTGTCTGAAGCGGGTGCCTTGGGCCTCGGTGACATGACTCTCCAGACTGCTAGAGAACAGGTCTGGGTCTCGTCCTCTCCTGGCTCCTCCCCCACCAGATTCAGCTCATAAATCAGTAGCAGCCCCCAAAGAGACCTCAGCAGCAGGACAAGGGAAACCCAGTTCTTGGGCCTTTGAAAGGGACTGGGAGTAGACAGGGGGCTCTGAATGTCTCTGTCTATTCTGTCTCTGCCTGTCTTTGCTTCTCTTCCCTACAAATGTCTGCCTCATGTCTTTCTTGTCTCTAGTCTGTGTGCTCCACTCATTATCTCTTCTGTCTCTAGAGATCTTTAAGCATTTCCCAGACCAGTCTCTTTCCCACATAGAATTTCTAGAGATTGTGCTTAGAAGAATGTGTGTGTGTGTGTGTGTGTGTGTGTGTGTGTGTGTTCTCATCAAACCACTGAGAAGCAGGGAGGGAGGGAGGTTAATTCTTCCTTCCCATCCACTTTACCAACCATCTCTTCTTTAGAGGTGGGGGTACAGGGAGGAGAGATCCTATTTACAGATGGAATTAATTTACTTACCTCCTCCCCCATCCAGCTCAAGGATTTGAGTCCCATTCCCCTAATCCCAATCCGGGAAAATGGATTTGGGAGGTTGGAGAGATTTCAGTTGCTCTGTCCCTCATTAGGGCTGCTGCTATGTGATTTTGCCTGCTCAGCTTCTGGGAGTGGCAATAGAGAAGGTGAAAGGATTATGGGTTGAAAGCAGAGGTATGCTGGAGACAGCTCAAACCTACCCAAGAGCCAATTGTTAGATTTTCTGGGTGAATATTTATGCCTTGGAAATCAGCAAACAATACAAATCAGGATTTGATTTATTATTTTGTTGATTGCCTAGACATAAGGATGTGATGGAGAAAATGTTACTAATGCAGATTAAACTTAAAATTGTGGTACTTTTTATTTTTTTTTTGGATACCTGGTGGTTAAACATTTACCAGCACACTTCTGGCTGAAGGACCCAATTTTTTAAAATAATATTTTATTTTTTCCAATTACATATAAAGAGAATTCTCAATATTCATTTTTTATAAAATTTTGAGTTCCAAATTTTTTCTCCCCTTCTTTCCCTTGCCCCCTCCCCAAGATGACATGCAATCTGATATGTTATACATGTGCAATCATATAAACATTTCGACATTAGTCACATTGTGAAAGAAGAGCAAAAGAGAAAAGCCACAACCCCCCCCAAAAAAGAAGTGAAAATAGTATGCTATGATCTGCATTCAAATTCCATAGTTTTTTTCTCTACATGTGGATAGCATTTTTCATCATGAGTGAAAGACCCTATTTTAAACATTCTTAAAAGCATAGAAAGGGCAGCTAGGTGGTACAGTGGATAGAACACTGGTCCTGGAGTCAGGAGGACCTGAGTTCAAATCCAGCCTCAGATGCTTACTAGCTATGTGACCTTGGGCAAGTCACTTAACTCTGATTGTCTCAAAGAAGCATAGACAGAACTGAGGGGAATCTTGGGAGTCACCTACTTTGTTTCAGACACAGAGCAATGGTTAGATAGCAAGTTGGTGACTGAGATGGGACAAAACCCAGGTATCCTGACTTCTAATGGTCCCATGCTCTTTTAACTAATTCCAAAGGCCCAGTGCTTGCCAAGAAAACCAGGGACTGAGCAGGGCTACGTAAAACTCCACAACAAGGTGGAGCTTAAGTCACCCTGCCTTGTGTGACACACGGTATCATATGATGGCCTGTGATGCAATTTTGTGTATGATGACACAACATGACAGACATAAAGGGATAGACATACAAACACAAAAATACACAAAAAGAGTGCAGCCTGAGAGATATGAGATCGGAAGTGAGAACACCTGGCTGTTGTGTCTCCTACTTGGCAAGTTCACCCTGCATAGGCTGTAATATGTTTAAGATCTAGCCAAAACATCTGCTTTCCAAGTTGAAAACGGCTGTTCTTAGGTCACTCCCGAACAGAAGGCAAGACAGAGACAAATAGATATGAGAAGAGAAAGAGATATGCATAGAGACAGAAACATAGAGACACACATTGTGGGGAGGGGCGGGGAAGAGAAGGGAACAAGCATTGATTAAATACCTACTATGTTCCAGGCACTATACTAACTGCTTTACAAATATAATTTCATTTGATATGTACCCACAGAAACACACATAGAGAAAGAAACATACAAATCCATATCTAGATAACTCTTAAGCTATCTTTGTGGCTAAAATGCTTCTATCTGGTATCCAAAGTCCAAGTACAAAATTAGCTTTAATTGGGAGAGTTGTAACCACAAATAGAATGTTTCTCAAAGGTAGGGACTGTTATTTTGTCATGTTTTTATTCTCTCTCTCTCTCTTCCTCTCCCTCTCCCTCTCCCTCTCCCTCTCTCCCTCTCCCTCTCTCCTCTCCCTCTCTCCTTCTCCCTCCCTCTCCCTCTCTCCTTCTCCCTCCCTCTCCCTCTCCCTCTCCCTCTCCCTTTCCTTGTATCTCTCCCTCTCCCTCTCCCTCTCTCCCTCTCTCTCTCTCCCTCTCCCCCTCTCCCCCTCTCTCCCTCTCCCCCTTCCCCTTCCCCTCCTCCTCCCTCCTCTCTCTCTCTCTCTCTCTCTCTCTCCTCTCTCTCTCTCTCTCTCTCTCTCTCTGTGCCTAGAACAGTATCTTGTTCATAGAAGGTACTAAATGTTTATTGAATTGAGTAGTTAGGAGATAGAGACACATCTAGAGATCAAGAAAGATATAAATAGATATTAATGCACACAGAGAGAAAGAGAAACAGAGACATGGAAATGTTTGTGTGTGGGAGAATCTGGTGTAAATTACTGCTCAGGAAATAAGGGACTACAGGAGGTGGGTGATTGATTCAGTTTCTGTACACTAGATGGAGGGGGGGCCAACTTCTCACTCCTGGTGTCAAAGGGTCACTGCTTGTGTATCTTCAAAGCACCCCTTGTATCCATTATGTTTATAGGAACTTGTTGGTGCAGCAGCTGTAGTTCGTGTGCATACGTGTGTGTGTGTGTGTGTGTGTGCTCAAGTGTGCATTTAAGAGAGTGGACATTTGCATGGTGAAGCAACATCCTCTCTTCTTTACAACCTCATTATTTTCTACATTATTCTATTTACCACCTTCGTGGAGAGCTTTTCCTCATGTCCACAGATGGAGCACTGTCCAGGGCATGTGGCAGGCAGTGGGGGTGCTCCAGTAGGAAAAGACAGTATTCTTGCCCACAGGGAGCTCCCATTCTAATGGGGGAGATAGACCCATCTAGATCATTGCAAAGAGAGAAGAAAGGAATGGGAGGCACGGTGGTTTGTTGGAAAGAGTGCCAGACTGGGAGTTAGAGGCTCTGCTTTCAAATTTCAGTTCTGCTATCTACTACCTGAGTAACGTTGGGCAAGTCACTCCCTTTCTCTGGGTTTTGATTCCCCCCTATGGGAGATCAGGGGTGTAGACTAGATGAACCCTAAGGTCCTTTCCAATTCAAACACTATGATGTAAGCTGAAGTCTGAGGATTAGTCAGGGAAGCCTTCCCATAAGAAGAGATTTTTGGCAAAACCTTTGCAAGGAGGGAAGGTGAAGAGCCCATAGGGTCCAAGAGTTCAGGTGGGGAGGGCAAGCATACAAAAAGAACTAAAAGTAAGGCTGAGGTAGGTGACCTGCTGTGGGTTTAGGAGGCATTCAGAGGCAGTAGTGGCAGAGAACCCCCAGGAGAGCAGAGGGCCTAGGTGTTTATTCAGAGGATGGGGGGAAATAGGAGGATCTTACATACACAGAACCTAGATTCTGTTGTCTCCCAGGGTGGGTAAGGGTTGGTAGGAATGTACTTCCTGCCTTCTCTAGTGGGGTACAGTTTTATGAATCAACATGAGTGATGAAGTCTGACGAAGAAACAGGTAAACTACAACCCCCAGCATCCTCTTGGGCTGAGGGTGGTCGACATTTCGCAGAGCTTGATGAAGTGTTTCCGGCGGAAGGGGCTGAGGCCTGCTGAAGTGTCCTCCTCCCCTGCCCTCCCCACCACCAGCCCCAGGGCAGACTACATTACCCATTGTCCTCTGCCTGAGGATCCGGAAGTAGCGTGGAGAGCGGAGGGCTGCAGTCCCAGGTGAGGGACTGATAGCTTTGCTACTGTGGGTGATAGTGGAGGGGAAAAGCACAGGGTGCAGTGAGCCCCTGGCCTTAGGGAAGAGTCAGGTGCAGACTGGAGGAAGCTGTTGGGAAACAGGAGATACAGGAGCTGGATCGCCTGGGTATTCTGTAATTTGCAGAGTCCCAGGACAGGTAAGGCCAATAGATGAAAATTATAGCAGCAGCAATAGTAGTTAGACTATGGGGAGTCAGGCCGATATAGAGTAAGAAAGCTGGACAGAGTCAGGAGAAACCTGGGTTCCAATTCTGGTTTGAGGGCTGTGTGGTCCTGGGCAGGCCATAACCTCTCTGAGCTCTAGCGTCTACATTTATAAAAAGGAAACAGCACTTTGCAAACCCAAAGGTTTTGAAGAGACTTTCCACTGGGCAAGGTGGCGAAATGACCTAGGATAGTTTTGAGTTCAGACTTTAAGAAAGACAGATGCAAATGTCACAGGATGCTTAAGGAGTAAGCCCACTAAGAGTCAGGTGTCAAGAATCAGACCGGTTTTCAATCAAAATTCATTTATTAAACATTTACTGTGTGGTAGCCCTGGAGATTCAAAGGTGAAAATGAAATAGCTACTACTCTCAAGATGCTTAAAGGTAGAGGTATATATGGGGAGGGGGTGTGCGTGGATACACTCACATATATACACATACACACATGTATGTATGTGTATATATATATACACACACACACACACACAGACACATATGTACACACATACGCCCCCATATATAGTTACATATAAAACACTTACAAAGGTAACCCTAGCGGCAAAGGCAATAGCAACTGGACCAGGAAAGCCTTCAGGTAGAAGTTAGCCAGTCAATATATTTATTAACTGTTTATTCTGCTACACAAAGCTAGGTGGTGCAATGGCCTCAGACACTAGCCAGGTGACCTTGGGCAAGTTACTTAACCCTGTTTGCCTCAGTTTCCTCAACTGTAAAATGAGCTGGAGAAGGAAATAACAAATCACTCCAGTATCTTTGCCAAGATAACCCCAAATGGGGTCAAGAAGTATCAGACAAAACAGAAATGACTGGGACAGCTAGGTGGCACAGTGAATAGAGCTTTGGCCTTGGAGTCAGAAAGACCTGAGGTCAAATCCAGCCTCAGACACATAACACTTACTAGCTGTGTGACCTTGGGCAAGTCACTTAACCCTGATCGCCTCACCAACAAGCAAAAAAAAATAAAAGAACAGAGATGACTGAGTAACAGCAACAAAATGTACCAGGATCATGCTAACCATTCGGATACAAAGAAAGGCAAAAGACAGTCCCTGCTCTCAAAGAGTTTACAGTCTAATAGGGGAGACATACAAACCAGGGCATACATAAGGGGAAAATTGGCGACAATCAATAGAGGGAAGATACGAGCATTAAGGAGGATTGGGAAAGGCTTCCTGTAGAGGGTGGGACTTGAAGGAAGCTAGGAGTCAGAGATGAAAAGGGAGAGCCTTCCTGTCATGATGGATAAGCAATGAAAATTCTTGTTTGATGAACAGCAAAAGAAAGCAGTTTTACTGGATCAAAGGGTACATGGGGTAGGGGGTGGTTTTAAGGTATAAGAAAACTGGTAGGGGAAACTATGAAGAGCTTTGAAAGCCAAATAGAAGAATTTATAATTGATCCTGGAGGTGATAAGGAGCCATTGGAGTTTACTGAGTGAGACTTGTGGTAGGGAGACCAATGAGACGGCTATTGCAGTAGTCCAAGCATGAAGTGATGAGGTTACCAAGGTCAAATCAACAGGATTTGGCAGCATATTTGGTTGTGAGAATGAGAGAGAGAGAGAGAGGATTGTAGGAAGCTTGGGTGACTGGGAGAATGGTGCTACCCTCCACAGTAACAGGAAGTTAGGAATCGAGGAAGGCAAGCCCCATCTCTTGTAAAGATATACTGAGTTCAGTTTTGAATTTTGTTGAATTGTCTAGAGGACATCCAAGAAGTTTAAACCGAGTTTAGAAGGAAATTGTGTCTATCATGAGGTAAAGATGAGGAGGGGCTGCCTTTCAGGTGCAGGAGAATAGCTGGTACAAAGGAACAGAGTGTCACATGAGGAGCACCAAGGTGGTCAGTTTGGCCAGACTGGAGTGCACAGAGGGGAGTGATCTGTCATAAGACTGGAAAGATGGGGCCAGGTAGCCAAGAGCTCTAAGTCCCAACGGCCAAGGTTATATTTGATCCTGAAGGTGACAGGGAGCTACTGGAATTTATTGAATGGGGAGGGGGTGGGGTGGAATGTTGATGTGGTCACATGTAGACCTGGGGAGAGTGACTTTATTGTCTTTGTGGAGGATGGATCGGATTAGGGAGAGGCTAGGGTCAAAAAGGCCATTTAGGAGGCTGAAGCAATAATCCAGGCGAGAGGTGATGATGTCCTGACCTGAAGTGGTAGCTGTGGAAGCAGATACAAGAAACAGCAAGATCTTGCTTTGCGGTTTGGTCATTTGGTCTGGGATGCTTTGAGAGTAGCTCAGAGGCAGAGAGGGAGAGGTATGATCAAGGGGACCTCCATAGCTCCCTTAGAGTCACGGATTTTGATGCTTAGGGATAGAGCATCAGACCTAGACTCAGGAAGACTCATCTTCCTGAGTTCAAATCCAGTCACAGACACTTCCTCATTGTATGACCCTGGGGAAATCATTTAACCCAGTTTGTCTCAGTTTCCTCATCTGTAAAATGGGCTGGAGAAGGAAATGTCAAACTACTCCAATATCTTTGCCAAGAGACCCCCAAATGGGGTCACAAAGAGTCAGACATGAGCCAACAACAACAACTAGCTCTACTTCTTCCTCCTCCTTGGTCCCAGGTTGACTCCCCACCATTTCTGAAGAAGCAGTGTTGTACAATGGAAGGAGGAAGCACTTGCACTTGAAGTCGGGAGCCCTGGGCTTGGGTCCCTGTTTTGCCACTTACTGTCAATGGAGGTAGGTCACTTAAATGTTACCTTTTTGGGCTGCAGTTTCCCCATCTATATAATGGGAGCAGTGGGACTTGGATTCCCTACCTCACGGGGTCATTAGGAGGAAAGTACTTTGCAGAAGGTAAAGCTGTATATACATTTCAGCTAATGTTACCCTTTTTAGATATACAATAGTCATCAGTGTGCTGGGTCTGAGTCAATTTGTATCCTTTGACATGAGAACCTAATTACCACAGAAACTTGGGAGGGTATTTCCTCTATCTGCCTTCCTCTTAGACTGCACTTAACCCTCCTGCAATGGAGGGCAGTCTTTCCCGTGCAATGAATGACTGAAAAAGCATTTATTGTAGTAAGCATTTACATTGTGTCAAGCACTGGGCTAAGCCGTGGGTAATGCAGATAGAAAAAGCAAACAGTCCTTGTTCACAAGGAGCTCACACTCTAACTAAGAAAGACAAAATCTGTAGGAGAGCTTTGCTACCAGGCAGATGGCAAGGCTGCCCCCAGAAGCAGCCTGATGCCATTGGGGAGGGAGGGAAGTGGAACTACAGAAGGGATTCTGGCTTCCCTATGGCAGAGGGAGGGATGGGGGTTCATAGTATAGCCAGAAGGGGAAAAGGAGAAGGAAGGTGGGAGGGGCTCTGGGGGTGGGTTGGGGAAGTGGAGCCCTATGGGATCCCTGTCCTTGTCAAAGCTCTCCAGACACCCTGGATGGGTATGGGGCAGCCTGCTGGTGGACAGGGTCATGTCTTTCTTCCTTGGTTGTCCATTGCAGGCTGTTGGAAAACAATTTCATACTTCTTGGTGAGGTTATAATTTAACCTCTATGCCTTATGCTGTAGGTGGGGAAAGTTTGTCCCACCTTCTAGAGAAGAAGGGAATGGTCCAAACCCTTCCCCCTTCCATACAACTATGGAAAGAACTCCACATCCTCCCAGTCACCTGGGTTCCCAACCTAGGTGTTGATGTGTCATTTTTCAGTTTTTTCTTTTCTTATTTTTCCTTTTCTTTTCCTTCCATCTTTCAATCAACCAGCCAAAAAGCATCTATTAAACACCTACTGTGTGTTAGGCACTGTGCGAGGCACTTCTGTGTTCAGCACTTTATGAATCAACCCTCCATTTGTCATTGTTCTGAGACCCTTCCCCTTTCCTGCCTCCAACTCTGGAGTTGGAGGAGAGATTATATGGAATGAATGGAATGATATCCCTCTTCCTCTTTCATATTTATGTATCAATTTTTACTTCTAAATGCTTTCATATCTGTTGACTCAGTTTATCCTCACCACAGCCAGGTTATGACTTGCCTAAACCTATAGAATCTAGACCACTTGACTCCCCGCCTCCAACTCTTGACATCAGACCACACAGTGGAGTACAGCAGCATTAATGATAATGGCCCTTAGGGGCAGCTAGGTGGTGAAGTGGACAGGGCACTGGCCCTGGAGTCAGGAGAACCTGAGTTCAAATCCAGCCTCAGACACATAACACTTAGCTGTGTGACTCTGGGCAAGTCACTGAACCCCAATTGCCTTACTAAAAAAAAAAAAAGATAATGGCCCTTATCCCTCTGTATCCACTGCTGCTACCTTCTTCCCCCATGTTTCCATTCTAGGCTTCTGGTGATTGAGAGAAAGTCCCAGTTGTGCTCAGGCATCATTGAAAATCCTAGAGTCAGGGTGACCAATCCCATAATCCTGAAGCTGGGCAGGGGATAAGGGAGGCAGGTCCCCCCTAGGATATCTGAGTGCCACCCCCAAGCCCTCCTCAGCCTGCAGTTGTCCATTTGGCATGGGAGGAACCACCTGGCTAGATCAGTAAAACTCTCCCTCTGAAACCAGCCAGGGGATGGGATTGTCTTGTGTCTGGACTGTGATTTCCTTCCCTCTTCTCTCCTCCCCCTCTTTCCCTGCTGATCCCAGTTAGAGCTCGAGAACAAGACAGCAGCTGAGTGAGATGGATCAGGCTGGGCCCTCCATCAATCACTAAGCATCAGTGTCCCATGGGCATCGAGGAGAGCTGCAGAAGGAGGAAGAGGAGTGCCCTATCTTTGCCCTGGGGAAGCTCCTTGAACACACACCCAGTCCTCAGATAGAGGCAGAGAAGTCAGTGCCTGGAATGGAATACAAACTGAGTGTGTGCATGCTGTGGAGATACACACACACATACACACACACACACACACACACACACACAACACAGGGAGGGAGAGTCAGAATAGACTGAATCAGAAAAAGGTTTCGAGTGGAAGGAAATACTGAATACAGTAAGGAAGGAAAGAGGAAAGAACTGAGCACAGAAAGGAAAGGAAGAGCTGGGCAAATCCATAAACAATTATTTCTTGAGCACACACTTCATGAAAGGTACTGCACAGAGATGCAAAGATATAGAACATGGCCTCTGCCCCCAGGGAGCTTACTGTGGGCATGGAAAGATTATTTATACTAGCGACATGAAAAAAAATAATAGCTTACACAGTAAGTTGGGTCAGGAGTATACTGTTGTCCCCATTTTGCAGATGATGAAACTGGGAACTGTCAGATTGGTGAAGTGACTTGTCCAAAGTCACACAGCTGGTAGGGGGATAGCTGTAATTTGAACCCAGATCTCCCAGATTCTCAAGTCCAGCATGATTGCCACTGTACATCATTGCCTCGAAGCAAGAAACTGAGAAATTCTAAATGCCAAGGCATGGGGCCTAGAAGAAGGGGAGGTTATCGAGGGGTAGGGTGAGACTCAGGTTCTCCTGGACCTGAGCTCTTCCCCATCATGGTTTCTAGGACACATATATACAGTTCCTAGAATTTAGAAAGGAGAGTCAGCTGATAGGATTTGGCTGGGGATTGGGTGAGAAGATTCCAACCCCCCCCCCCGGATTTCCACAAGAGCTTCCAGAAAGGGATCTTTTCTGTTGTAGCAAGGTAGCTTAGAATTAAACATGAGAAAAGACTAACTGCTAAGACAGAGAAGCCCAGGGAAGTTCTAGAGTCTTCTTATGGAACAGTGAAAAGAAAGGCAGCTGAGATGGTGAGAACTTGGCTAGCGATAATGGTGGTAAGTTAGATGGGCGAACAGAATGGGTACAGTCCTACCTGGAGGCAGAAGAATGCTGCCATTTGGATTTTCAAGAGTGATTTGGGGACCTCTCTGTCCCTCAGGTGACATCAAGCCTCCCATTAGGACCCTCCAAAGAGTCTGCCACTTCTGAAAGCTTCCCCACTCCCCTTCCAGCCTGGCCCAGGACCTTCTGGAAGAGAAGTTGAGACAGAATACAGAGCTGGACCAATGCTATCACTAGATACCATCAAGGTCCCACAGCTGTGCTCTTCTTGAGTATGAAAATAGGAGTTGTCAGCATGGCCCAGATTGGGGTGAGGAATCTGGGAGGGTGGGAATGGAGGGTGAGGCATTTTTGATCAGGATGCTTAGGTTGTATAGGAAAAGTGTGTGTGCATATATGGATGGACACATGGGGTGGGGCTTGTGAACATGTGTATACCTGTGGGGTCCTTCCACTCCCCTACCCCTTGCTGGCTCCTGTGGTTGCTCAGACACTCTTTGCTTCACTGCCGGTCGTTAGCCAAGCCCATTAACGATGGTTCCATTTCCCCTCTGTGATGTCCACTAATTGCCTCCGGGAGCCTTCCTTCCGCCACTGCCTACCCCTTCTAACCCCACCCCGTCTTTTGATTTCTCTCCCACTCCCACCCAGGCTGGGTCTAGAAAAGGTAAGGGGGGAAGAGGGAAGATCTTTTCATTTCTTTGCCTCACCTGGGGGCCATCCACCTCCAATTCTTTTCAAAAAGAAAAAGAAGACCCCTCCCCCCCAAGGGAAGAGTGGTGTTGGTTAGGAAAATTAGGTTCTGAGGTGGAAAAGGAGCGGAAAAGGACATGGGTGTTTACATTGCTGGGTTGTTTGTTTGAATTAAACCAGGGGTTCTTAACCTTTTTGGTGTGCCTTGGAACCCTTTTGGCCATGATCTGGTGAAGCCTTTCTTAGAATTATGTTTTCAAATGCATAAAATAAAATACACAGGATTACAAAGGAAACCAATTATAAAATAGGCACTGTTCTGACTGGAATGACACAAGTGAAATACAATTATGAAAATATTTTTTGAAAAAAAAAAGTTCGCAGGCCCCAGGTTCAGAACCATATTGGTGGGTGCTGGAATGAGGATCTCAGGATAGCTGGGCTTCAGGTAGCTCCTGGGATGAGTGCATGGGTAGTGTTCACAGGCAGAGGGGAGGGTAAGGGCAGGAGGCTTGATCTTTTTGATTAACTCCAGCTAGGTGATGAATGATTGTTAGGTGGGTATGATGGCTAGAGGTTTGGGGAGTAGGAGGAAGCTCAGAGCGATGATCAACTCTACCATGTTTCTAGCCCACCAACCTTTACACCCTCCTCCCCCACCTCAAATCCTTGCTGTCTCTGTCCATCATTCTTTTCCTCAGCTGTATGGCCTCTGTGCCTTTATGAAGGCTGAGGACCTTGAAGCCCTCACAGATTTGCATTCCTTGTTCCCTGCTCCGATGCTAAAAGTTGATAGGAAGTGGGGTGGGGATGTCTGGAAGCCCTAATCCTCAATGGAAGTTGGGAGAGAGGTGCCAGCTTAGGACCCAGACACCCTGGTCCCCAAATCTCCAGCTGTATGGACAAAAGTCTGAGGTTGGCGGTTGAATTCGTGGTACATGGATAAAATGGAAAGGAGCAGGTATACTGAAACTTAAGTATTCTGTCTCTATCTTTGTGATTGTCATGCCTCTATTTTCTTCCCACAGGTGTCCTTTAGAGATGTCTGTGTAGTTTGGCACTGTCTGGGCACTGGGAGGATAGTGTGAGCCCCACCCAAGTATACCAAAATGTGGGGTCCCAGGACTGGAACGCCCCCAGCTAGAGGGGAGTAGTGCCTGTTTCAGACTTCTCTGCTCATTGTGGGCAAGCCGGGACCCTCCCTGACCCTTCTCTATCTACCTGCCCTGGTCACTTCTTGGCCCCCAGTAG